ACCCACTGAATCCTCCCAACTCCAGCTCATAGAAGAAGAAACAGGCTTTTAGCCCTTTTAAAACCGTCCGCGGTCCCAGAGCTCACACGCAGCAGGCCTCAGCGCAAGGCTCAGCCTGATCCAAGTGTGTGTGCAATCCGCCTGCCACACAGGGAAACGGCCAGCAGCTGGGGAAGGACCCGGGCCCTACCTTGCACTCTTGAGTGTATTCCAGCTGAGAACTATCGGGGATAAAATTAGAAAAATCCTGAAAAGGAAAAAAAGAAAGAAAACAAAAGGAGAAAATTTAGATCAAGCAGCATACTGCCAACCTATATTGGTAGACAAGACAAAAGACAAATTTATTTTTATTTTTTCAAAAGACAAATTTAAAAAGTGATCAGAAAAGGGGCGCTTGGGGAGCTCAGTCAGTTAAGTGTCTTCCTTCTGCTCCGGTCGTGATCCTGGGAGTCCTGGAATCAGCCCCGCTTTGGGTTCCCTCCCGGGGGGGTAGGGCACCTGCTCTCCCTCTCCCTCTGCTGCTCCCCCTGCTTGTTCTCTCTTGTTCTCTCTCGCTCTGTCACGTAAATAAATAAAATCTTCAAAAAAAAAAATGTGATCAGAAAAAAACTGACAAGAAAACTAAAAGGACCAATGTGGACAATCCATCTCCTTACAACTCAATTAAAAAAAAGTTAATCCAAATATTCAGTTAGAGTTTAGAAACTGATACTGAAAATCAACTGATTTCAGAGAAAGTGTTGCTGCACCTTGTAAGGGGCTTTCCAAAACTTTTAGTAACGAATACCGACAGAAGGAAATCAGATTCTGCCTCTTCCCAACAGCTTTCACTCTACCAATGACGATGGTGAATACTTATAAAGGCAAAAAGGCCAAACGGTGCTCCAACTTTGAACGTCTGTTCCTAGGAGGTCAAGCATTCAAAGATGCAAGAAGTGAGTAAATTCCAGGTAAAGCTAATTCACCAAGTTGCCAAGAATGCACCTCACATAATCTATGCTGCTATCAATCAATACAAAAAATGCCTCAGGCTCCAAATACTTAAAAAAAATTTTTTTTAAGTCAAAAATGACAAACTAAGGTCACGAGTATTTATCCCTTGAAATGTCTTTCTCCAAGAATTCCAAAGGCTTCAAATACAATACAACAGAACCATAACTTTCATGGCATTAAAATAATAAAGGCTTCCTTTAACGCTGTTTTTTGCAATTCATTCTCTTCTAAATATATTTCTAATGTCCTTTTCTTTATGCTATCTTTAAAGATAGGTCCTGGGGCACCTTGCTGGTTCATTTGAAAGAGCATGTGACTCTTGATGGGGGGGGTCATGGCTTCGAGCCCCACGTTGTGTGTAGAGAGATTGCTTAAATAAATAAAACTTGAAATAAATAAAGATATGTCTTACCACAGTCTTTGAGGTCCTCTGGACAGCCAATATCTTATTTTCTAAGGAAAATTTAATGCACTTCACTTCTCCTTTGTCTTCCATTCTTTAAGGGAAAAAAAGTATATTATGAGTTAAAGTTAATAACCGAATACTAGCATCTAGTATTTTGTGAGAAAAGTTATATACTCAGGAAGCAGCAAATCTTAGTTGAAAATTATGTTTCTGAAACTATCAGGACTTCTTTTCAAACAACAAAATCCAACTGGCAACGAGTTGCTGATGAAATTTACAGTTTTGTGGTTAACAAGTGACTGACGAATTAAGAACACGTGCATTTTCCCTTGAGATTCATCTTAAACATAAATAAGTAATACCCACACAGCAACCTTCTCCAGAAACTGCCCTCTTTCCTCCCCATCGCTCTCACAGCAGTGTGTGAAGGAGTGTAAGCTTTCCTGTTTACTTCCCAATCTACAGGACCTCCAACAGACGTTACAAACGGAAGTCAAGGGATGGATTACAGGGCAGCACCAGCAAACTTTTGATTGTGGTGACGGTTAACACATGTCAAAACTCATCAACTGTGTATGTTAAATATATGCCGTTAATTCTACCACAATAAAACTTGAAAATACACAAAATTGCTAAAATTTTTACCAATAAAATTAAAATTGAAAAGAGGGTAAATCCAGTATCTTCCTCCTCAAACCCTACTACGCCCCCAAATCTGGATCATCACGGGCTCACTCTCATTTTCCACGCCCAAATGACCACCAAAACTTACCCAAGACCTTCCTAGGCACCTCCTGAGTGTCTGTGGGATAGCAGTCTACTCCGCCTGCGGGCTGCTCTTTAGTACGCCTGGCTCAGACTATCGCAATCACCGCTCAGTGGTATCCCTGACGCTGATATGCTCCCAACTAACGCAGCTTCAGTGTGGTGAACAGCATGATCTTTCCAAGCACTGATAAGATCATGCCATGCCCCATCTTACCAATTTTCAATAAGAAGATAAAGCCCTAATTCCATCGTAGAATACATACGGTTCAAGCTGACTCCTGCCTGTGGCCAGACCACCACCACCTCCCCGTCCCCGCAAGGACACCTGATGTCAGTTACACAGACCCGGAATTCCCCCAAACACCATGCTTGCTCGCCTTTACACTCGGTGTTCTCTCCATCTGAAAGGCCTGCTCTATTCCCCATGTAGAATCATCCCATTCAAGCTTTAAAGTTTTGCTCAAAGGCTCCCTCCTCTCGCAGGCCTTCCCCATCCTGGGCAGTGGTGTTTCCTGGCCTCCCCCAGGATAAATGTCTCAGCTCTTTTGTCTGCCCAAACTCTGAAGAGTGTTATTACAGCACTTTTCACAATCAACAGAATGTGTCCACACACTTGTCTCCCACACTAAATTTATGAGTTCTGCAAAAGGGTGCCCGGCTGATTCATAACTTTCCCATGCCTGGTGCCTAGCACAGGGGCTACAATCAGAGTTTGTCCAACCAATGAGTGACTTGTTTTCTACTTCAAAAACTGTTTTCGGGGCGCCTGGGTGGCTCAGATGGTTAAGCGTCTGCCTTCGGCTCAGGTCATGATCCCAGGGTCCTGGGATCGAGTCCGGCATCGGGCTCCCAGCTCAGCGGGGAGCCTGCTTCTCCCTCTGACCCTCTCCCCTCTCATGCTGTTTCTCTCTCGCTCGCTCTCTAAAAAATAAATAAATAAAATCTTTTTTAAAAAAAAACTGTTTTCTATGAGCAAAGGCCACCTGCAAAAAAACTTAAGTCACCACTGAACTGAGGGCCCACACTGTACTTTCCCCTTCTGTAATCACAGGAGTTAAAGACCAGATAATTTATCAACCAAACTGAGATACTCTGAAAGTGAAAGGAAGGGCTATTCATAATTATACTGGTTCAACTTGTATAAATTGGGATATCCAGTCACCTTTAGTGGAAGCTGGGATTTTCTTAAAATACATTATTATATAGGAAACACTAACCAGAAATCTCCTTCACCTACCACACGGCTCGAAAAAACCAGGGCCAGATGAGGAAATGAAGGCCCTCCTCAGTCAAGATGCCAAAAATGGGCACATCAGTAAACTGACTCGCTAATTTCAAGTGCCAGGAAGTGGGCTCCCTGTATCTGAGCATTTGATTCCCAAATCGAGAGAACCACTCCACACATTTCACTGACACTTAGTACTGATCTGTGCCCCAACACCACGCAGCAGGTGTCCCCTTCCCTCTCCCTACACACAGGGATTGGCAAGTGAGTATACACTTCAGGCGTCTTACAGCCAAAGGACAAACCTTTAAAACCACCTTCTGAATGAGAAACAGAAACACATCATTTTGTTTACATGTGACAATTATTCTGCGAACGTCAACAGTTACCGAAATGAGATGGGATTCCTATCATCTGGGCCTTTAACTACCACCCCGGTAGCTCCACCTGAGCGAACTGCAAAAACCTGGGACGGAAAAGAAGCAACGTTAATGGTCTGAACTTTGAAAGACTTTAGACACATAGACCAGCCTACAAGCGACTATTTCCACTACACCCCACTCCTGGTTCAGCTGAACTAACGTGGCATTTATCAATCTGCAGATGCTTGCTGTGCACATCAATTTTAAGGGACAAAAGCGTAGAGACCAAAAAGACTGCCATTCCGGGTGCAGCCCACTGGGCAAGACCCGGCCGGGGTCCCCGAGGCTACACATTTTAATCCGGTACGGCAAAGGCGCCCCTGATGCACTTGAGCACACCCTGCTACTCCTCACACTGCTTTTCCCCCCTTTCCAAAATCCCGAGAGTAAGGGCAGTCTCAACGTCTAATTCCTCGACTGCAAGGGTAACTAATGACAAAGACAACAAAGGCGCCGGGAAAGGGCTGGCGAGCTAACAGCTGACCGCACCGGCCAAAGGGCGCTGCTGGGTGGGCGGCGCAGGCTCGGGGTCCACCTAGCTGTCACTTTGAAGAAAGCCCCCGCCAAGGTGGCTCCCGGTCCCTCGGCCCACCCAAGAGCCCGGAGCTGCCGCCACTCCGGCGCCGGGACCGGAGGGGAGGCCCCAGGCCTGTCCCCCCCCGGCCGGCACCCGACCTGGGTGCGCGCGGGACGCCCCTGGGCCGCCGGGGACGGCGGGCGTGGCGCGTCCGGCCACGCGGGGGAGGAGGGCGCGGACCGGCCCGGACCTGCTTGTTGGCCTCATCGAAGAAGACGCAGTTGACCGGGTTCGCCTTCTCGAAGTGCACCGGCCGGTCGCACAGCTCCAGGTAGTAGTCCTCCTCGCCCATAGCGGGCGCCGCCGCTGCGGCGGGGAGTCTGGGGGCGGCCGCCAGCGTGGAGCGGGGCGAGCGGCGCCCGGCACAGGGACGCGACGAGTCGGGCCGGGCGGTGGCGACGGCGATCCGACCGGGCGCGGAGGCCGCTTCCTGGTGCCACGCCCCCACCCCGTCCGGCACGTGACCCGCCGGCCTCCGCGCTTAAAACGGCGACGGCCGACCGGCCGCGGTGGGGCCTAGCGACCGCGACCGCACCCTGGTTGGCGCGAGAGGCTCCGCCCCTTTCTTGGAGGGCGGAGTCCCAGCCCGGCTCGCGGGGCGAGGGCGTGCCCCGGAAGCCGCGCGGAGCCGAGGGCGGGTGTGGGCACGGCCACTCCCGCCTGCGCCCTCCCGGGCAAGTGCAGGTCCTGGCTCCCAGTCCATCCCGGGAGGTTTACGCCCGGCGCGCGCCTGCCTGGGGCAGGGCTGCCCCCGGTCTAGGAAAGGCTTACGCTGTCTCTCCCGCGGGTTTATTGAGCCTGTCTCTGGGAACTTAGTAAGTAAGGGAGGGGAGAGCTGTGGCCAGCGCCTGGATGCTGTGAGCATGTAACAGGGAAACCCAGTTTAGATTGCAATCAGAAAGCCTGTTTTGAATGGCTTTGACATTTGAGGGAGGGTGGGGGAAACTCCTTATTCAACGGAGATGGAAGGGAGGAAGGAAGGGATCACGGATGACCCCGAGTTGAGCACCGTTCTCTAAGATAAAGAGGCTTGAGAAGTTTGGCAGGGAAGTGGTGAAGATCAAGAGTTGCGTTTTGGACATGTGAATCCGAGGAGAAATGACATCTGCATAGATGGATATGTGGGGCTGAAGCTCACCAAGAGTGACAAGGCTGGAGATAGTAATCAGTATCGGAATACTGATGGTATTTGAAGCCGTGGAATTGGATGGCATTGCCTCCCATAGAGCCATAAAGTGAAAAAACCAACCTGCAGAGGCTGAGAAGAGGAATCAGTAAAGGACAACAAGCAGAGCCGGCCAGAGAAGTACACAGAAACCTAGGGGTGGGGGAGGCCTCTGGGGCTGAGTGAAGAACTGTTTCAGGAGATGGGGTAAGTCCACTTTGACAAAGGCTGCTGAGAAGTCAGAGAGAGTGCTGAAAAGTGTCCCCCACTTTTACCCCAAGGAAGACACTGATACTTGCATGGGGGGACCATCACTGCAGGGACTGGGAGGCAGAGCCACAGGGCAGGCAGCGGGTTGGAATGAGAATGGGAAGTGAGGAAGAGGTGATAGGCAGCAGATTCCTAGTAACCGATCTGGAGAAGCTTGTCCCTGAGAGGAGCGGAGGAATGGACATGGAGGTGGCCCAGGGTGGGAGGAAGTAGGAATGAGTTAGGTTTTTCAAATGAAAGCAGCAGCAAGGCCGTGCATACTGTACTGAGCATAAGAACATTCCAAGTCTCTTGTGGAGCCCAGGAATCTGTAGAGGCCAGGGACCTCTGAGACAGAGTTGGAGGATTATATTTATGAACAGCGGACTGCGGCATCTTTGTGTGAGAATGGTTTAGCAGAGAGACAACGATGGAATATACAGAGAAGACGAGATATCCAAGTGAGGTGAGATGGGGCAGGACCCAGAGTGCATATGGAGCGGTTGGTCGTTTCTGTAAGCACAGGATAGAAGGAGGCTGGGAGATTTATGGGTAGGAAAATGAAGGCCTTCCTCTCCTTTCTCTGGTAAAAAGAAAGAAAGAATGTGGAGGGAGGAAGGAAGGAAGGGAGGGAGATGAAAACGAAAAAAACCTATTCCTGTAAGGCTCCTACCATTGACCATACCTGTCCTTATCTCTGTCATCTACTAACCAGGATCACAGAATCATTCCACCCACGTCCTGCCGTCACCTATCAGCATACGTGCGGAAGACCCATCCCACCCCATGCTGTCCCCCCAGCTGCTCCCCTGCGACCATTCTTCACCACCTCCAGGAGCCTCCTTTGTCCTACCTTTTCTGCCCAGTCTATTGCCCCCTCCTTCCCTTCCCTCCTCATCCAGCTGCAATTCCGTGTTCCTCCATGCCAGTACTGGTTTTGCTGTTACCCTCAACATCCTTGCTCCTCGGTCCTTGTCACACTCGCCTGACAGAGCCTGAGCCCAGATGCACTCCACCTGCGTTCTCTGCACCTGCCCCTGCAGGAGGAGCGGCACAGCCGGGCAGCAGCAGCGGTAGGAACGCCAACGGCCCTCGGTCCTGCCTGGCTCTCCTCCATTCCCTGCAAAGACACGGCCAAGCCTTCTCCGCTCTCCTCAGCCTGCCTGCAGCCCTTCCCAGACACCTACCTGGCCTCTGCTTATGGGGAAAAGCGAAGTCATCAGACGGTAACGCATGGTCCAGCCCACCATTGCTGCCCCTCCGCCTTTCCTAGCCTCCATGGAGCCAGAAAAATGCCTGTCCTGCCCAAGAAAGTCTTCAGATCCCATTTCGCACTTTCTCAGAAAACTTAAGGTGTTGATTATCACACCTCTCCTCACAACCTGGCTCCTAGAAATGGTCTTCCACTTTGCTGCTCTCTTTCTTCTTAAAAACACAACAACTGAGCTGAAGACAAACACAAAAAAACTTTCCTGAAACCCTTATGTGTCTCCAGCTATGACCCCCTTTCTCTCCTTCACAGCACACTTCTCCGAAGAGTTGTGATGCTCTGCCCCCACTTCCCCAACCTTACCCCACTCCAGTTTGCCTTCGGCCCCATCACTGGAAACAAAAGAGCGCTCATGAAGGTCCCCAGGGAGCTCCATGTCACTATGTTCATGACAACTTTTCAGTCATTTTATGGACTCCGTACCTTTTAATCACTCCCTCATTCTCATGAAACTTTGTTGATATTTATGTTGGTCCTTCCTTGAGTAAATCTGTTCCTGTTGTACACGAGATCCACGAGGGGAGGGCTGTGTGTCTGTACTGCGGTCTGTCCCTCGGCCCTTACATCCAGTTGCCTACTTCTTCTCACCTCCACTAGGGTGCCTCAGAGCACTTGGAAACCAGCATCTCTAAACCAACCCTCCTGACCTTCGCCACCAGGGTCCTCTCTCAGGGTCCCATATCCCTGTCAGTGGCACCTCCGCCCACGCAAGTGCACAAATCAAGAAGCTGGAGTCATCCTGGACACTTCTCACCCTCTTACCATCCCCCATGCCCAAAGGCCAATAGACCATCGATAAGGAAAATCTGGAGATTGAGGAACCCCCATGGTTCACTACTCCAACCTTCCCTACAGAAGAGCATATTTGGAACAAGAGCCCCACAAGAATGTTGGCCAAGAGCAGGGAGGAAGTAGTGCAGTTGGGGGCGGGGAGGGGACGAGGTGCTCAGAAAAGACTTGCCTTCCTTCAATGCTGGGCATCTTATCCCTCTTCCCAGAGAGTTAGATTCAGTCAGCTATGGCAGAGTTTTGTTCCCAACAGAGCCAGGCTTAATTTCTGTGCACCTCACCTTGGGTCTGCAAGCAGCACTGAGAACTGCCGGGTGATGGGTGAGAGGTCCCCGAACACAGTGGTCTTGACAGTGGCTGTGGCCCAGGAAATGCAGAGCATCTGGGAAGCCACTGCAGGCCACGCAGAATCCGAGGATCTGGAACTACCTTGGCAAACCAAATCTTTGCCTCTCCATGGTCCATTTCTTTCAGTCACAAACGTATTTGTTTCTGTATAGTTGAGCATTAAAGACATTGATTGTTTGCCTCATGCCCATATAGAATTCCCTATTCTTCCCAGATTTAAAAAATTATCTTTTCCTTGGTAAACATTAAGACTCTGAAACTAGCCCATAAAAGTAGATCAACAGTCATTTCTAGAATTTTGAGTTTGCAGATATTACCAGGACTCAAATTCGTAAGTGCCTGATACCAGCTTGGGAATCACCATAAATGACAGACCAGAATTAGAATTAGGTGAGAATATTCTTCCCATTGTATCCCCATCCAGTCTGATAATTCCTTCATTTATCAGAAGGTTCTTTCTGTGGGTTTCCTTTGTTACTTAGGCAGATGTTTCCTTCCTCGTTTCAGTTATTTCTGTTCATAGTTCCTATTTCTGCTCCTTCTTTAAACATTAAATTGACAAAAGGTTGCAAAGCTATATCTGTTTTTTTATTGCTGCCACACTTTTTGTCAGCTCTAGATCTGATTTTCAGAGACAAAAATTTATATGCAAACCAGAGTAATGCAAATGTTTTATATTAAAAATTCACTTTTATTGGGAATAAAAAGTTTTATTTTTTAAGTGGTTCATTAAACAATCTCAAAACATTGTTCTTTTAACTGAATTTCATTGTTTTGGAAGATAATTTGAGCAAAATTTTTCTAAAAGCCTGTTTTTACATTGAAACCTGTGGAAAGACCAGTAGGCAACTTGCCCATCCCTTCTCATGACTACATTGGAGTAAAAGTTCACAGGGGTGTTTGAACTCAGACATTTCCCAAGATGCAATGGCTCCACAAACCAGTTGGTTGTCAGAATCAAAAGGTTTTATTTTATTTTTTTTTTAAGATTTTATTTATTTGACAGAGACACAGCGAGAGAGGGAACACAAGCAGGGGGAGTGGGAGAAGGAGAAGCAGGCTTCCCGGTGAGCAGGGAGCCTGATGTGGGGAGAAGCAGACTCCCTGACGTGGGGCTCGATCCCAGGACCCCGGGATCATGACCTGAGCCGAAGGCAGACGCTCAACGACTGAGCCACCCAGGCGCCCCAGAATCAAAGGGTTTTTTTGTTTTTTAAGATTTTATTTATTTGACAGAGACATAGCAAGAGAGGGAACACAAGCAGAGGGACTGGTAGAGGGAGAAGCAGGCTTCCCACAGAGCAGGAGCCCGATGCGGGGCTCGATCCCAGGACCGTGGGATCATGACCTGAACCAAAGGCAGATGCTTAACGACTAAGCCACCCAGGCGCCCCTCAAAAGGTTTTAAAAATAAAAACATGCTATATTGTAATTATGAAAACAATGCACACATGGAAATCAATATAATTTCAATAGTACAGGAAGATATCAAGTGCAAAAAAGCTCTCTTCTCCCTCCTCCCTCAAAATGGTCAAGGCCATAACCCAGAGAAAGCCACTGTTACCAAGTTCTATTTTAGGTTTTGACGATAACACTATAACTCATATACTTACCTCATTTTATGAGCTTCAGGTAGTACATGTTATTCTGCTATGAAAAGATAAGGAATTTAGCACACTGATCTGCCTCTCACCTCCCTTGCCCAATACTTCTCAATTTTTGTTGCTTTTATTATTTTTAGTTCTTCTAGTATTTACTCACATAACTTCATATGATACACCCAGAACTCCATTTTTGATCCATCAATGTTAAGAAGTTTCCAGGGACTCTACACTATATAAGATGGGGAGGGGCACCTGGGTGGCCCAGTAGTCAAGTGTCTTGGGGATCGGCTCAGGTCATGATCCTGGGGTCCTGGGATTGGGCCCCACATGTGGCTCCCTGCTCAGCGGAGAACCTGCTTCTCCCTCTCCCACTCCCCCTGCTTGTGTTCCCTCTCTCACTGTGTCTGTCAGATAAATAAAATCTTAAAAAAAAAAAAAAAAGATGGGGAGATGAGAGCACTTATACCAACCCCTCTCCTCTGCTTCCCCCTCCCTAGTCCAAATTTATATTGTCAAGGTTTGGGGCATTAACATTCTATAAATATAAATTCAGTTCCTTGTCTATGGATTATATCTAAATGTTGAAAAGTAACAGTATTAAAATACTACCATTATTTCTTAAAATATTATGATATTCACCATAGAACCATGTGGAATTATTGGGTGTATAGAAAAGTAAATGTTATTGTTGGTCCCTACACTTGACCACTTAAAAAGAATGTCCCGGGGGCGCCTGGGTGGCTCAGTCGGTTAAACATCTGCCTTCGGCTCAAGTCATGATCCCGGGGTCCTGGGATCGAGCTCCACATCAGGGAGTCTGCTTCTCCCTCTGACCTCCCCCACGCTCGTGCTCTCTCTCTAATGAATAAATAAAAAATCTTTAAAAAAAAAAATAATGTCCCAAATATCAAGGTCAAAATTCACCATTTGCTCAAAAAATCATGGCATGTTTTTGTTTACTTCAACAAAAGTTGACTTTATGTTTTTTCTGGAGCTTTTACTTGCTTTTCTTTTTGTTGTTGACAGAGGCGAGTGTGTTCATTGTATCTTTTAGCTCTCCCTGGCTTTTGTTCATTATTCGGTTTGTGTGATGGACTCCATGTTGTTCTTTCACAGGTCCTAGATGGAGCCCTCTCATTTCTTATTCTGTTGTAATTCTATAACTATTGTATCAGTTGGAATTGCATTTGCCCAAGTAACAGAAAACCCAACTTATAGTAGCTTACCCAAATAGGACTTGAATTTTTCTTAAGGAATAAGAAATCTGGAAGTAAGCCATTCAGGCCTGGTACTAGTGTTCCATGATGGTTCAGAGAGCCACATTCCTTCTTTTTCTCACGTAGCCATTCATCCTCAGTGTGTGGCTTTCATCCTCATGCTCATCACCTGATAGCTGCAGGATGGATGCTTACTTCTAACACGGGGTCTACAGTTCCCAGGCAGGAAGAAGGGGAAAGGCAGAAGGCAAAGAGCTGGTGCTGACTGAGTTTGATCAACTTTTAAGAGTTTTCCCAGAGGTGGGGTGCCTGGGTGGCTCAGTCAGTTGGGCATCCAACTCTTGATTTCGGCTAGGGTGGTGATCTCAGGGTCGTGAGATTGGGCCCCGAGTCAGGTTCTGTGCTCATTGTGGAGTCTGCTTGGGATTCTCTCTCTCTCCCTCTCCCTCTGCCCCTCCCCTCCCCCGCTTGTACTCTGTCTCTCTCAAATAAATTAATAAAATCTTTAAAAAAAAAAGTTTTCCCAGAGGATCATACCCAGCGACCTCAAAGATGTCTGATAGCCACTCTAGCTGCGAGTCTGGGAAATGTAGTTTGTAGCTGGGTACATTATGCCCTGTAGGAAACAAGTTTTTAGGGGTGCCTGGGTGGATCAGTCATTAAGCGTCTGCCTTCAGCTCAGGTCATGATCCCAGGGTCCTGGGATTGAGCCCCGCATCGGGCTCCCTGCTCCACAGGAAGCCTGCTTCTCCCTCTCCCCCTGCTTGTGTTCCCTCTCTTCTGTGTCTCTGTCAAATAAATAAATACAATCTTAGAAAGAGAAAAAAAGAAAAGAAAATACATTTTTAGTAAGGGAGATGTAAATAGATACTGGATTAGCAACTAGCAAGGAGCTTTTTTTCATTGCATTTCAAAGTTAGTTGTGCAGTTTCTTAAAATTTGGATTCCCAGGTCCTATCATTCCCCCCCACACACCCATCCCCTTCCTTGGGAATGTTACTCTGCTCTTAGTAAACTCCTCAAATGAACGTGTGCATGCAGATTTTCACCTGTTCACAAACATGTGGGGACCACTGTTTAGTTGTGAAGGTCAAAGCTGTATATGAACTCTTTTTTCCCTGTAGGGATTATTTAATCATCACATATTTCTAAAGCTCCCACTTTGTATCAGCATTTCCTTAAGCTCTTTGGAGAACATGAACATGTCAAGTATTTATTACCCTGGCTCCAAAAAGTGCATTATAATGCCACATACGTGATACACAAAAATCTAAGGAATATAATATTGTAATAGAGCTAAGAAGGGCTACAGGGGCTTATCGGCCTCACCGTGCTTTGAAGACCGGTGTGGTCAAACACGGGAGGGGGCCAGTTGGAGGATGCAGAGGCAGGTGAAGAAGGCAGGAAGAACATGTGACAACAGGTACACCATAACACTAGGGGCAGAAGAAACAGGCTACCCGATACAACAGTTTAGAGTAACACCATACGATTTAGGGGTAATGGGAAAGGACTGCTACGTTATTACCATGTCATAACTTTTTGTGACTTAAAAGCTTTGCATAAAGTAGTATCTGATCTCTTCAGAGCTAACATTTGAGTCAAATTTTTCTTATATTAAAACTGCTACGGGGCGCCTGGGTGGCTCAGTCAGTTAAGCGGCTGCCTTCGGCTCAGGTCATGATCCCAGGGTCCTGGGATCGAGCCCCACATCGGGCTCCCTGTTCCACGGGAAGCCTGCTTCTCCCTCTGCCACTCCCCCTGCTTGTGTTCCCTCTCTCACTGTGTCTCTCTCTGTCAAATAAATAAAATCTTTAAAAAAAAACAAAACAAAAAAACTGCTATGGGTGTCCAATAGCATTTTAAAAATAAAAAACTGCTACGGGGCATCTGGGTGGCTCAGTCGGTTAAGGGTCTGCCTTTGGCTCAGGTCATGATGCTCAGGTCATGATCCTGGGGGCCTGCTCAACGGAGTGTCTGCCTCTCCCGCTGCCCCTCCCCCACTTATGCTCTCTCAAATAAATAAAATCTAAATAAACTAAAATAAAATAGTGGGAGCAAGTTGTGCCCTAGAATTCACTCGGTTTTAAAGTGTTTAGGTAAAGTAACGCTTGCGTGCTTGTTGTTTTTATTAATGTGACATATTGGGTGATGGCTGGGCCTAGCAGCTCTCTCAGAGTGTGTAAGATTTGTATAAGAGCAAACTTAGAAAACTGCAGATCCCAGGTGGACGGGAACCCTCCTTGGCTATTTTCTGCATGTCATAGATAAAAGAGCTACTGCACAGTCAGGCTGTTTTCGCAATGTGTGTGCCACTTCTAGAATGTCCCACAGCTGAGTCATGTGTGCTCTTAGGAGGCAGAGGACAATGAGTGTGTCAGTTGGTC